TATATAAAAATGCTATAGATTTTTTAATTTAGTTTTAATTTTTTTTTAATTTAGGTTTTTACTCTAGCGCATGTGCACTTGTCAGAAAGACAAAGAGAGACAGAGATACAGAAAGCGAGAAATCATTCCCCAGGGGGGATGGCCACACCACAATACCTTCTCCTCCATTCTCCTCTCAGAATCCTGGGCACGCACGTACACGCGCCCAGAGTAAGTTTAAGCCACCGGGTCCAGGACTCAAACCGCGGTTGACTATATGGGAATCCAGTGACATAGCCATTACGTCAACTGCTGGCCCCCAAAATACTATAGATTTTTGTATGCTGATTTTGTATTCTACCCCTTTACTGTCAGACGTTAAATCTTAAAGCTTCAAAAATAATTCTCCTTTCATTCTATGTGCCACTTCTGGGGATTTTAGGCTGCTGAAACAGCAAGCAGTCTTGTTGGGCTTTGCTGGGCTCAGTCCATATTTGATATTTTTTTCAGTTTAGTGTCCCATGTCTGCAATTCTCCCAGGCTGGTGCTGTACACTGTTAGTTCTACAATTCTGGGGTTTCCAGGACAGCCTCGACCCTGCAGCTCCACTAGACATTGCTCTGACAGCTGCAACCTGCCCATTTCCGCTTCACATTGCCCTAGCTGAAGCTCTTTGCAGTAGCTCAACCCTCGTGACCAGCCCTTGCCTAGACCCCCAGGTTGTCTGAGACATCCTTTGAAATCAAGGTGGAGGCCACACACCTCCATAGTACTTGAATTCGGCATGCCTGAAGACTTACTACCACATGCATGTCACTAAGGTCTGCCAATCACATTCTGGAGTGCTGGTTGAGCTGCACCTGGGGCCTCTTAAACCACAGATGGTGTCAAGGAGCGCTGCACGAGAACGTGCAGGTCAAAGTCCCAAAGCAGCCCTTGGCAGCAATGCCATGGAGAGCTCCCAGACCTGTCCTCTGAAACCATTCTGCCTTCCTCATTCTCTGGACCTTTACGGGAGAGGCAGTCACCTCGAGGATCTCTGAAATGCTCTTGAGGCCCTTTACCCATTGAATTGATGCACAGCACCTGGTTCTCTTTTCAGCCACACTAATCTTTAGCAAGTGATTGCTAAGCTACATTTTCTGTTTTCTCTGCCAAACATGCTTTTTTTTTTTTTTTTTTTTGCATGACTAGGCTGTGCGTTTTTTAAATCTTTCTGATCGGATTCCCTTTTCATTACAAATTCTCTCTAAAACATACCATTGCTCTTTCATTTCACTGCAAGCAGTTTAAAGTAACCACAGAGCAGTGCTAGACAGTGGTGCAATGGTAAAATGTGATGTCTCTATCTCTCTTCAGTAAGCACACATGCCCTACAGCAAGAAAAAATAAAACCCAAAAAAGTATAAAAGGAAAATGTGATGCTCTTCAAGATTGAATCACATGGGAAGGTTCTGAGTTCATGTCCAGAGACATCCTTGAGTTCACAGACACATGAGTGCTCATGATCTGGGACTGCCTGAGACTGGGAGTGCTTTGAGGTCTGTTGGGGGGGGGTATCTCTATCTCTCTATCTCTCTTCTGTCTCTCTCATTCATGAAAGAAATGAACAAGTAAACAAAACAAAACAAAAAAGTAACCATACCGCTTTCTGTATTTTGCTTGGAAATTTCATTTGCCAGATATCCATCACTCCTAAATTCCACAAAGTCTTACGGCACAGACACAATGCAGACAAGTTCTTTGCAACCATGTATAAGAATGATCTTTTCTCCCATTTCCACTAAGATATTCTTTATGTTCATCTGGGATCTTCTCAAAACAGCCTTTACTTTCCACATCTGGCTCAACATTCTGGTCGCAGCTATTTTTACCAATCTCTGAAACGTTCTCATCCATTCATCCCTAGTCTTCTCATATTCCGAGCGCTCGCCAGAATCTAGGTTGCTCCTCTAAGCTGCTTCCACATTTTCAGATCTTTACTATTAGCAAACAGCCTCACTTCATGGCACCAGTTTTCAGTTTGTTGTGCTGCTAATAACAGCAGTACTTTCAACTCCATAACTGGATTAAAATGGCACCCTTTTAATCCCATCAGACCAAGTTTCAACACATGGATCTGGGGGGACACTTTCAAACTATAGCAATGTAAAACACATTGGTTCCTTTAAACCTCTTCTCCCACTCCACCTTTTCTTCCCCCCAGTCATTTGTAAATGTACTTATACATTCCAGGTTTGCAGAAATGCAAGAGCACCTGGGTGGCTTGTTTAAAAATACAGATTCCTAGGACCCCCTGCTAGAAAGATGTAATCACCTTGCCTAGGGGGGCAGGACCAGAACACCTGTGTCTTGACAGTGAGTCTTCTGTTCACTGGGCCATTTTTTTCATCTGTTCTCTGTTTTAGAAATCTGCATTGCCCAGTCTTGGCTATAGGTGAGAAGTGACTATGGACTCCAAGGATATCCGGTTACTTTCTCTCAGAGTCTGGTCATTTTCCTATCACTCACTAGTGCTTTCCTGTCATCCGGAGCTCCGCACACCCGGTACCCTTCCTTGTCTCATCCACCACAAGGACCTGGGCACATCAAGGCTTTACCAGAAGTTTAGCCTTGAGCAGATGAGGCCTCTGGAGGTGCCTGCATAGACAATACCTCTCATCTCTGCTGTCTCACCCCTGCCTATGTTGTAACGTCTTGTTTTGGGGGAAAGGAACATTCATAACCCCCTTTCTGTCCAGCTTAGTCTCATTCAAAAATGTCCATGCATTTCTTGAACATTGGCGCTCAGTTTTCCACACAGGTGTGGGCTGTCTGGATGCACCATGTGATTCCCCCACCCCCTCAACTGGGTTTTTGTTCTTTTTATAAAAATTTTTGCTATAGGGTATGTGTACTCATTGGAGCGAGACAGAGAGAAAGGGAAAGTGACATTCACCCCCAGGGGAGATGGCCACACCACAGTTCCTTCTCTTCCACTCTCCTCTCAGGTTTTTGGACGCATGCACACATGTGCACACACGCTCCCAGTGTGTTTTTCAAGCCACGGGGTCCTGGACTCAAACCGCACAGTAGGTCATGTGGGATCCAGTGTCTTAATCACCATGTCACCTGCTGGCCCTGGACCTTTGTCCTTTGGTTGAGACTTTGTGAGCAGCTAACCCTTCCACTCCAACATACCAGGTGTGAGGCCATCCCTGCCTCCACCGCCAGCAGGTGTAAAGCAGTGTTGAGTTTTTGTGTGAGGGTTTCCCATGTCAGATTCCATTTTCTAGCTGGTCTCTCTTCCTTGCTCCCACTTTTTTTTTTTAAGAGGTTTTTGCCTTAGGGCATGTACACTTGCCAGAGAGAGAGAGACAGTCAGTGAGAGAGAAAGTGAGAAATCACCCCACAGTGGGGATGGCCACACTGCAATCCCTTCTCTTCCATTCTCCTCCTGGGATCTTGGGCACCATGCACACATATCCAGCATAAGTTTCAAGACACTAGGTCCAGGACTCGAACCATGGTTGGTCATATGAGAGTCCAGTGACACAACTGCTACGCTCCCTTGCTGATCCCCCTTTCTCCCATGTTAACATCAACCACACTTTTATATCTCAACCTGCTCCTCAAAATGCTCCCTTCCCAGCCCCTTGCTGCCCTGTTCTAACCCCTCAGCTCTGCTCCCATGGGTGTTTCTATCTCTGTGCTGTCACTCGTATTCTTCCCTCTACCTAGAATGTCCTTATCCATAAGCCTCAAGCCCCACCTCCTTCCCAACGTTTTCCTCAACCCTCATTTACTAAACATCTTGTTGCTATTCTTCATGCATGGTCTATGGATAAATCTCAGTAAGTTAGACCTTCTCTAGGCCCAGGGCCGCTACGTTCTCATTCGGATCCTGGCCTTTCTGGGGACTGTTCTCACTGTCTAGAAGTCTCTTCTGCACTCCAGCCCCATCCCAACACACATCCACTTTACCTTTTGAACCATTTTCCCAGAAACACGCAGACACTTACAGGAGCCCACTAATTGACAAACATGCCCAGCTCTACCCTCTTCTGTGGCAGCTCAGCGGCATTAGACCTGCTTTCTCGCACCCAGAGCATAAGCTTTTGATGCCAGGAAGTCAAGAGCGTCTTTTACCCCTCCCTCTCAGTACACACAGCTGGGCACACACACCCTTGCTTTCCCTCCATGTTTCCTGCCTTGGTCACAACAGCATCATCCTACCAGTTGCCTGCTATGCCCACTCCTTCAGTGCACGACTTGGACATCACTTCTTCCAGAAAACCTTCCTCAGACTTTACCGGCTTCTTGCAACAGCCTGGATCCAGTACCCCTACTTGCTCCTTCCAAAGGACACTGCACTGTCTCTGTCAGGGGGTTCATTACACTGCACTTTGGGGGCCGTTAAATAATTTGTTCTGTGAGTGAGGGATGCCAGTTACCTTACTATAATTTCACATGAAAGGTATGCAATAAAAACTTGCTAAATGATTTAATAAATAGAAGTCATCAAATAAATGATCTGATGGTGGATCTAAGCAAAACAAAACTGGAAAGGACAACTTGTTTCAGCATTTCGTACCTCCCTACACCACACTGAAGTCCTCTGGGGGTGAGATGCCACTTGGCAAACTATGCCAAAGCATAGTTTCTCTCCTCCGAGTGGATGTTTTAGTCTTGACTTACATTCCCAGGAATTGGTGTCTGCGTCTTTATGGGACTGGGTTTGGTTATGAGACTGGGGCTGAGACTGAAGGTTAAGGCTTGAGTGTGGGGTTAGGGTGGACACAGAACTGGTCTGAGGTTGTGATAGAGTCAGGGGTGGAAGAGGGTGAGGACGAGGCTTAGGAGAGAAATCAGGGGAGGGCTGAGGTTAAGGGCTGGCTGAGGCTGGTGGATAGTGGGGACGGAGCGGGATCTGAGGATGAGTGAGTACCCTGGGCTGAGGCTAGTGAGAGGGCTGGAGTTGGGGTATGACAGGGGCTGGATTCAGCTGGGGCTTCCTCTACATTAACTTCCTTTTCCTGCAGTGTCTGGGGCTCTGAAGATCATCCCAGAGGTAAAGCTGGAGGGGGAGCTGGGCGGATCTGTCGTCATCGAGTGCCCACTTCCTGAAATGTACGCGAGGGTCTACCTCTGCCGGGAGATACCAGGCTCCGCAGTATGTGCCACCGTGGTGTCCAACAAGAACTTTTTCAGGAAGGAATACAAGCGCCGAGTCACCTTGGAGCTGTTCCCAGAGAGGCATCTGTTCTTGGTGGAGGTGACAGAGCTGACTAAAAGCGACAGTGGAGTTTATGCCTGTGGGGTCGGCATGCATACAGACGAGGGCAAGACCCAGCTAGTCACTCTGAAGGTCTACAGTGGTAGGTGACCACTCTGACTGGAGGCTCAGCCCACCCAGAAAATGTTTCCTCTCCTTAAGACTGGGCCAGCTGTAACAGTCCCCCAGACTTGTATGCTATTGCCACATCAACAAGCCCAGTAATAACTGCGAGACACCTTGTAGTCAATTAACTTCATAGCCCACAGAAGTTTTTATCCAAAGCGGATGAAAGGGATAAAATGGGAAGATAGGCACTCTCCTTGGACGGCCAGCCCTACCCAGGGCATGATGGGAGTAGGGGCTGGAGCTGAGGCTACTTGGAGGTCACGCAAGGCATAGTTTCTGTCCTCAGAATGGGTGTTTCAGTCTTGACTTCCAGTCTTAGGAATTGGTGTCTGAGTCTTTATGGGTTTGGGTTTTGTTATGAGACGGGGACATAATTGTCCTACCTAACCGTCCCATAGGATATAGCAGGGGTAACTCTAAAGGAAAGACACTCACCCAGAGTGCCACGTCTAGAGGCCAAACTTGTTATGTTATAGTCTTCTGTTTCCCTCGAATCCTGCCTGTTCTCTGCTCCACCGACATGGCTACACTGATGCACAGAACTAATTCAACAGCCTGGAATCCCAACGGCCTCTGGTGGGTTTTCAGGGGATCTTTAGGCTAGGAGGAAAGAGGGAAGCCTTCAGTCTGGTTCCTTTTCCGCACCTCTCAGTGGATCCTGCCCTCTGCCTCTAGTTGCCACCCAGCCTAGCTAAGTCAGCTTCACCAGAGCTTCAACTTACACCAGAGCACCTTCTCCAAACCTCAGTCTTTCCCCAGAGACCATCAACACACTCCTTTTGTTTCCAATAGAGTATGAGCCATTTTGGGAAGAGGAGCCAATGCCTGAGCATCCAAAATGGTATAAACATCTGCATCTGAAAATGCCCCCTTTGTTCCAAATGCCTACACATGGCAGTTCTTCCAAATTCGTATCCAAGGGTAAGTTCACCAAAGCAAGGTAGGGGGTGGGGGAGACGCTGTGGCATTGTGAAAATGGAGGAGGGGTTTTGTGCTCATTTTACAGAGTGGATGGCAGAGCAAAGTGGAGTCTCAAGTGTATTTCCCTGCCTAAGAAAGGGTACCTGGGACCAGCAGTTAGCGTAATGGCTATGTCGCTGGACTCCCACGTAGTCTACCGCAGTTCACGTCCCGGACCCAGTGGCTTAAAACTCACACCGAGCACGTGTGCGTGCATGCCCAAGATCCTGAGAGGAGAATGGAGGAGAAGGGATTGCGGCGTGGCCATCCCCCCGGGGGGTGATTTCTCGCTTTCTATCTCTCTGTTTCTGTCTGTCTGTCTAGTGAGCACACATGCCCTATAGCAAAAAGCTCTCCTAAAAAAAAAAAAAGAAAGAAAAAAGAAAAAAGAAAGAGTACCTCTCTAGGATCTGCTTTCTAGATCCTTCAAGCCTACCCAACAGGCAGGAAACCGTGCCTTAATTGCAAAACTTACATGTCACCACCAGATGGCACCACCACAAGTAATGAAGTTTGTGCTCCATTCACAAAAATCCAGCTCTTTTATGAATGACTACCTAGACAAAGACAGGGCAGAAGATCCCCAGCTGGAGGTCAGTCAAGCCTCCAGCTCCCCACAGGGTTGTCTTCTGCCTGCTAGCATCCAGTGATTTTGACAACTCTATTTTGCAATTTGAAGCTTAATGATGATCACATGAAGCATTTCAATAACATTTCCTAGTCTTAAAAGCATTAGACATGCAATATTTCTATTGGATCTTCACAACAGTAACCAAACATTATGACACTGGGATTTGCTGGGTGCCAAGAGGGATAGTGTGTCTGGGTAGCTTGTGTAACTGAGATTGTGACTGATACATCACAATGGGGTGGGGACAGAACTAGAAATGAGATCCACCTGTGGAATTGGCATGCAAGAAGGCACATGGGGCCATGAGGACCGCAAGAATAAAGGTCACCTGGGTAGAGGGATGAGGTACCGAGGAATGAGGTGGTGACCTAGTCCTGCTGGAGACTGGTGTGCATACAGAAGGTCCCTTTTCCCTGACATCTCCTGCAGCTACCACTCCAATGCAAAGGACTGCGATCCATTCAGCCCACCACCCCTCCTCCACTACCCCAGTCACCCACCACCCTCGAGTTTCCAGAGCATCTTCAGAGGTAGCTGCCGAGTTCCCAACTCTCCCGCCATCCACAACAGCCTTGAAGACCTCAGCTCATGAGGAGCAGATCAGGCCCCAGACAGCCAGCTACAACCACCACACCAGGCTGCACAGGCAGAGGTAAGAGGTCTCCACTATCCAAGATGGGCAAAATAGGCTCGAGTTGGCTCTGCAGGTAGACATGAGATCCAAGTCTTTCGGTCACTCCAAAGCACTCCAATCTGTTTTGAGGGGGAAGAACTAAGTTAGAAATTAAAGCCAACCATTAAATATTAAAATTACATTCACCTTTTCCTTTTCACTTTTTAAATGTGGCTACTAGGAAATTTTAAATGACATACATGACTCATGTCTGTGGGATAGCTCTGGTCTAGTCGGGAGTGCAGTTCAGGGAAGTACTGCCATTGACCACTAGAGGGTAGCAGTATAACAGACTGGAAAGAAAGTCGGTGACGGGATTACTATTGCCAAAGCAAAAACAATCCCGTTAGTGAGGAAAGGGACCTCCAGCGTCATTTGGGTTCTGGGTATGGAGAAACCGAGGCCCTGAGAGCTTAGTGGTTTCAAATGAGCCAAGACACTTGATTCAGTAAATTCAGTAAATCACAGCCTTCTACCAGTGGACAAGATACCAAATTCTAACATTTTTTTAGTCTCTACTATGTGTTGGGCACTGTGCATTTATATCTTGAAGATATAAAAAGATGAAAACACACGCTATCCAGGACTCCTTGGAAAAGACTAACTGTGATAAGGTTTGTAAAGAATTGAGAACACAAAAAGAAAAAAGCTGATTCTGGGTTATCAGGATTAGGAAGAAAGGATTGTACACTACTCCTTGAAGAAAAGTAAGATTTCAGTATGTTTAAAAAAAAAAAAATGGAGGGGAGATCTCCCAGACAAAAAAATGCTCTGAGAAAAACATGTTTTCCATAGTTATAAGAAAATAGTTCAGGGACCAGCAGTTAGTGTAATGGCTATGTCGCTGGATTCCCATGTAGTCGACTGTGGTTCAAGTCCTGGACCCGGTGGCTTAAACTCATGCCGGACACATGTGTGTGTGTGTGTGTGTGTGTGCCCAAGATCCCGAGAAGAGAATGGAGGAGAAGGGATTGCAGTGTCGCCATCCCCCCCACAGGGGGTGATTTCTTGCTTTCTCTCTCTCTGTCTCTCTCTGTCTCTCTGGCAAGCGCATGCGTCCTATAGCAAAAACCTCTAAAAAACTAGTTCATTTACTATTTACCATAATCTTGTGAAGAAACCAAGGAACATTGGAAGGGGAACCGGTATTTATGGAATACTGCTACAGATCAGTTACGTTCTTTTTATTTATTTATTTATTTTTATTTTGCTAGAGAGCATGTGATGAGAGGGGCGGAGAGAGGAAAGGTGAGAAAGCACTGCCCACAGGGCATGCTGCAGTCCCTCCTCCATTTCCCCTCCTAGGGTTTTGGGCACACAGGTTCATGTGCCCAGTATGTCTCTCAAGCCACTGGAACCTCCCGGTCTGGCATGTGGGATTCAGCTACCCCAACCACCTCGTCACCCGCTAGCCACATTAACTTCTGTCCACTATTTTGTTTCATCCTCATAAGCATTCTGTGAAATAAATTGCACTATACCCATTTATGGGAGAATTAAGGCTTGGAGAAGTTAGGAGACTTGTTCAAAATCACACAGGCAGTAAAAGGCAGAACTTGAATCTGAGTTCAAGTTTTCTGACTTCATGAACAAGAGTCTTTTGGGAGCGTGGAGGAAATTCCCTTAACAATGGGACTAACCTATAGGCCTTCTGCAAAAAAACGTGGGCCACACAAGATGCTTCCTTAAACCTACCTCCCTGGTGGCAGCAGGTGGAGTGGTGGTTAAGGCCTTGACTCCCACATGGTCGACCACAGTTCCAGACCAGGTGACTGACTTTCTCTCTCTCTCTCTGGTGAGCATGTGTGCCCTATAGCAAATGAAAATAATAATAATAAAATTAGATAATTTTTTAAAAAAACTTCCCTTATTAACTTCCTCTGCCTCACTTTCTCTTTCCCCCTCTCTCTCGTTTTTTTTTTTTTTTTTCTCTCTCTCTCCAGAGCCTTCAACTACGCCTCACAGCCTGGAAGAGAAAACCAAGGATTTCACATCCTGATTCCAACCACTCTGGGCCTCATCCTGTTGGTACTTCTGGGCCTGGTGGTGAAAAGGGCCATTCAAAGAAGGAAAGGTGAGCAGCCAGGTGGGGATCAAATAGGGAAAGCTGGGCTGCCCAAACGGCCCAGAGCTTTCGGACCCTCTTGGACTTGCAAGGGAAACTCGGGGAGCGTCCACGACCAGCCTGAGTGTAGACAAGTGGTCTGGGTGGGGGTCGATGGCTGGGACTCTCTCCTCAAAGGAGGGCGCTGTGCTTTCGCACCTTTACTGAGCAGCTTGCATTGCCAAACAAGAGAGCAGACTGCCTTTACTTTGGGGACGGTGCGGAACGGTGGCCTCGGGCCTCTGATGCCATTTTTCTTTCTTTTTTATTTTGGAGAGGATTTTGCTATAGGGCGCTCTATAGAAAGATAGAGAGAGACAGAGAGACAGAAAGCAAGACCCTACCCCCCCAGCGGGGATGGCCACGCCGCAATCCCTTCTACTCCATTCTCCTCTCGGCATCTTGGGAGGGCGTGCACACGCGCCCGGCGTGAGTTTAAGCCACCGGGTCCTATACTCAAACCATGGTCAACTACATGGGAGTCCAGCGATGTAGCCATTAGGCTCTCGGCTGGCCCCGATGCCATTTTTCTTTCTCCGTGACTTTGCGGAGAAGTCCTTTCTAGGCGGGTCCGCCGACTGGCCGTGAGGATGCGCGCCCTGGAGGCCTCCCAGCGGCCCCGCGCGTCGCCTCGGCCGCGCTCCCAGAACAACGTGTACAGCGCCTGCCCGCGGCGCGCCCGGGGGCCGGGCGCAGGGGGTGAGTAAGCGCCTGGGGCAGGCAGGGGGGAGAGTCAGGTGGAGTGGGCCTGGGGCGGGGCTGGAGCTTAGGCCACGCCCTCACCTCCGCCCTCCCATCCTTAGGCCCCCAGGAGACGTCTCTCTCCGCCCCCGGAGCCTCGGCTATCCCCGCCCCGTTGCAGGTGAGCTCCGCCCCCTTCCCCTAGGCACGGCCCTGGGCGTCCACGCGCGCAGGTTCTCCAGCTCCACCTACCTCCTGGGCTCTGGCCTTCCCAGCACCTGCTGGGCGATGAGCCTGGCTGCAAGCTGAATCTGTTTCCTTCGTTGATGGTGTCAGGACCGGCTTCCCAGGAATTGCAGTGGACTTGGTTACGTGGCTTTTGGCCCAGCGTTTCTTACAGGATACATGGGTGCTGGGTGACGGTAGCCAGGTAGAGGATGGCAGACCGCAGCCACAGTTGCGTGAAGGGCCTTCACGTGGGAGGGATTCGATTTCTGGGAGGTAAGGAGATGGAAGCTACCCAGACATTGCATCTCTGTGAGGGAGGACTTCCTAGTAAACTGAGACAAGAGCGGATCTACACAGCACTGGGGGCAGTTAGGCCTGTCTAGAGGGTGACTTGGCAGAGATGGGGACAGGATTCAACACTTCGGGCGAGGGGACTCACCTTCAAACCTCGCATGGACCTAGGGAGCTCCTGTTTCCTTCGCTGGCCATCATTGGGTAGGAAGTCTATCCTTTCCTCCTGGTTTTCCCCAATTTCAAGACAAACATTTTATCCTCCAAAGTAGCCCATAGAAGCTAAAACACCATTCTCCGGGGAACCAGAGATAACCTAAGAGTGGCAAATAAGCCCTGGGTTTTTGTTTGTTTGTTTGTTTGTTTTGAGAGATTTTTGCTATAGGCTGCATGTGCTGGCCAGAAAGACAGAGAGAGACAGAGAGTGAGAAATCATCTCCCGGGGGGAGGGGGAGATGGCCACGCCACAATCCCTTCTCCTCCATTCTCCTCTCGGGATCTTGGGCATGTATGCATACGCGCCCAGCATGAGTTTAAGCTGCTGGGTCCAGGGCTTGAACCATGGTCAACTAGATAGGAGGCCAGCAACATAGCCATTACGCTAACTGCTGGTCCCCCAATAAGCCCTGTTTTGGCTACAGCATTGGCTAAGCTAGGGCAGCAGACTCAGAGACACGAGGCTCCCAATGGAAGTCTGTTTTCCTCTCAGGGTAAAGCTCTCAGACAGAGGGACTTGAAGAGGTCACATGAGTCCCAAGGTGGTCCAGGGACTCAAATTCACTCTGTCTTGTTGCTCCACCCTGGCCAGTACTCAGCAGCTATGCCATGTCCACACTCTAGCCCACAGGAGGGAGACCATGAGCTTAAAGTGCCACACATCACTTCCACTGGCATCCCGTTGGCCTAACTTGTAGTGACACTTTCAAGGGAGGCCCATCCCAGGCTGGGCAACAGTGTGCCTTACTGGGAAGGAATGAGCAAAGCCAGCACCAGGTAGTATCTCTGCCACTCTCGCCACCAACTTCCTGAGCTTGCCCTTATACCCACCCCTGCCAGTGAAGGCCCATGGCAGCTTAGCAGTAGCCCAATGCTGTCTGTTCTATTCTTCCACCAGCCTCTTCCTCTGGAACTGTCCTGTGATCACACAGGCCCCACCTGGACTGGTACCCTGCTCAACGTGTAGCTTGCCTCCCTACTTGAAACTCTCATGGCCACTCTTAGGGGCAAAAATTCCCTAATGGGACACACTTACAGTAAGGTGCATGTACAGTGACTGCTTATTTTAGCCTTCATAGGGAGTATTTTCATTTATCAAGCCAACTAAGTTAATCTCAAATGATGAATTATAATAGGCAGCGGGGAGTATTTTTTTTTTCTTTTTTTTTCTTTTAGAGAGATTTTTTGCTATAGGTCATGTGTGCTCACTGGACAGACAGAGAGAGACAGAGAGGAAGAAAGTGAGATATCACCCACCTAGGGGGAATGGCCACATTGCAATCCCTTCTCCTCCATTCTCCTCTTGGGATCTTGGGCACGCACGCACACGCACCTGGTGTGAGCTTCAAGCCGTCAGGTCCAGGACTCGAACTGTGGTTGACTACATGGGAGTCCAATGACGTAACTGCTATGCCATCTGCTGGTCCCAGGGAGTATATTTTTGAAGCCAGCTATTGCAGCCTCCCTGTTTGGTAAAGTCCAAAATGTAAACGTTTCTTCCAGTGAGCACATTCTGAGTTCCTGCTGTGTCTGTGGTACTAGCCTTCTGGTTCTCAGAACTTAGGTTTGAGTATGTGGTGGTCCCCACTGTAGCATTCTTTAGTAAATGTGCCATGTTGGGGTCTTTGGCACAGCCCTGCCCTCCAAGAACTGACCATCCTGAAAGTGTCTGCTCCTGGGGAAGAGGAGCACTGCTGTACCCACATGGTCTGCCCCCTTCCTCCCCTCACCATCCAACCCTCTTCTGGAATGTTCTGTCATGTGATGTCACAGCCTCTCCAAGCCCTTCCAGAGGCACAGGGCTGACTCACCTTACTCTTCAATAACTCCGAGAAGATACATACTTATTCCATGAGTCACATCGTCTTATCCCAGGGAGATATTCCTCTGGCAGCTGGGTCTCCTTCAGACCACATGACTTAGTCTGAGCCCCATTTAAGGGCATTTCCTGCCCATATTAGATTGAAGTGTTTTCCAGTTATCTCGCGTGAGACATCACCCTGAAAGTCCTCACTTGATGGAGTTCGGCCACCTCTGTGCCTTCACCTTCTGGAACTCAGCTACCGTGTCCACCCCCCCCTCTTTGCCCGCTGTGGAAATTCACCCTAGAGAGATACTAAACTCACCTACCCAGGCCCATGATACTTCTTCGGTTGTTTGCAGCTGCCCGAAGCTCCCTGGCTCCATGCCCCATCTGTGAAGACCAGCTGTGAATACGTGAGCCTCTACCACCAGCCTGCTGCCAAGATGGAGGGCACTGACTCCGACTACATCAACATAGCCTGCCTGACTCACCTCCCCAGCTCTCCCCCGGGGCCCAGACCTTGGTGCCAATGAGTCTTGTCTGTTGTTGATTTCTAGTATTTGTTCCATCTTTCCTAGGAGGCCACATCAACGTCCATGCCCCAACTCAACTCTCATCCTTCTACCTGTGCCTGAGCCCGGCTCTACCCCCAGCTTCTCTTGCACACCTTTGCACCGCCTGTGGTGATTGGTGGGCTCTGGGCATGAGAGCATTTGCCTTGATGCCCCCCCTTCCTCTCCAAGCTGTCTAGCAGGCCATGGGACTGGCAGAGCATTTCCTCGAGGTCTCTGATCACAGGGCTTTGCTGCCTGGCTGTAGACCACATGGCATCAGGCCAGTGCACGGGCATAACTGTTCCTTCAGGAGTCTTTGTGGGCTTGGTTTTCACACAGATAGGTGGCCTCGGGCTGCACCGTGAGGACATGCCTCTGTTCCGTGAGCTAGGAAGGGGCCTGGCATGGAAACACCTCTGGAAACACTTTTCTGGATCCAAAGGCTGGCACTTGCTAGTGAGCTAACTTGTCTTGAGTCCCCCGGTAAGGACAGTTTATTTTTATATGGTGACATAGTCTAAAATTTCAGAACCAGACTATCTAGTGTTAGTGAAAAACACACATATAGCCATCAATCCCCTCTACTCTAAGTCTCCTCACTTATGATGCCCAAGTATCTCAACCCCAGCATCCAGTTTTAGAAACAGTCTGTCATCGCTTTATCCTTCCGTAGTCTAGCCCTGATATTTGTGCATTTGTCTTAAATTTGGTCCGTTTTAGCCATCCAAATCCATCACCTCTCTCTGCTTTCAAACAGGCACCTGATCTCTTGGCCAGTTCCAGACAAAAGATAGCAGGGTGAGGAAGGAAAGCAGCCCCCAGTGAGGACCGGGGGCTCTGCAGAGTCCCAGCATGGAAGAAGAGACAGCCTGCTCCTACATGTCCTCCTCTTAGGTTTCGGGACCACAGTCAGATGCTGTATCTCAGGGCTGATGTCAGCTACAAAGTCCAGCCAGAACTTGAGGCTGCAGGATGCTAGTCTTACGGTTGGGAAGAAGGCTTTTCCCAGATACACATCAGCCTCCCTGGGTGCTTGGCCAGAAATGGAAAGGAAAGGCTGTCAGACTTGAAGTGGGTTTTCTTTTATTAGGACGGAATGTCATCACCGATTGGACAGTGCATCCTGGTACCATGATACCATCAGCAATGTCAGCTCGACACCGTCCCCCTCTTAAATAGCAAATAAAGGGAGAATGACCCTTGATAAGAAACAGAGGGCACCCAAGGGGCAGGGATGGTGGGTGTGGGCAGGGGAGTGAAATGCTTAGCTGGACTCCGCTTAGTGCCACCTGCCACTTCAACCTCCATTTTATCTGTTATAGTGTGTTTTTCAGACCCAGGGCCTCTCACCCCACCCTAGTGCTCTGCCCCTGTAGATGTCATACGACAGCACCATTTTTATGCCCTGAAGTTCCACATCATATCCCAGCATCCCTGGTTATTCCTCAATCATCCAAAGACAGACCAAAAAAATCATCATCATCATCCATTTTGTCAAGTATTTATTTAGCACCCATCTACTGCCTCACCCTGTGGCAAGGCTCTTGGGAGATCAAAGAGAAGTATGGGACACCATATTCTGGAACTTAAAATCTCATCAAATAAATAAAACTGCAGTTGAAGCACTGACAGTAATTAAATAGAGTTGTAATAAATACAGGAGTCCACTCTATAGATTATTCACAGATCCAAAGGAGCCTTCCGGGACGGTAGCTGGTGCTGCTCGAAGGGTGATGTCTTTGAAGACAGCCACGAGTGTGAAGTCCATGGAGAACAGCACAGGAAGGGACATCCATTTGAAATGACACGGAGAACAAATGAGGAGGGTAGCTGAGCTAGGCGTTCGGCTTGTAGAATTTCCCCATCCAGGTCAGGAAAATGTCCACTTCCCCAAAAGCTTTGGTTAGAGCTGCTTCTATGTCCAACTAGAGGGAAAAGAGAGGAGCAGTTTGACCTTGCCAGTTACAAAATAGTTTTCCTATGCCCTGCCATGGCTGAGACAGGCCTGACTCTGAATCGTGGGCTCGGTCACCTGGGACGGCCTCTGATGCACTCACCTGCCTGTCGCTTGTCCTCTATCTGTGTGTGTTAGCTTCAGGGGTGAGGACAAATGGGCCAGTGAGGACAGTGGGTAGAGGGCGAGGGGAGAGCATAGGGCTCCCCTAGCAACAGGAACCGCGGAACGGAGCATGGCACAGGTGTGGCTGACACGCTGCACAGGCAGAGCCGTGAGCCCAGATGGCCCCTTTCCGCCATATGTTCTTGCTCTTCACTATTTATTTATAAGCTGCTGTATTCGTTTCTCAAAAGAGTGATCAAAGTCATATATGGGGGGGGTTCTTCAAGCAGCTCATGGAAAATGCATACATATTATGAGAAAACTATGACATAAATTTCAAAAAAACTGGGGGGCCAAAATAAACTCATACTTTATTTTATGTTTCCACAAACTCTTTGAAGTTTCCTATGTGTTTGGGGATGGGAGAAGAGATTTTTATTTTCTTTATTGTCTTACTTTGGAAAAAGGTCGTGTAATTTCCCATAATCTTTTCCACAGACCAGACCCTTTGAGCATTATGGGAAATATTGCAGATGTGAATGGGGTGTCCCCCCTCTTCCTCCCTCTCCTGACTTCATTAGCCCAGCCCAAGTACCCTCAAACTTTCTCATAGGAAAGTGAGAGTCCCTAATAGTGAAATCAGCTCTCAGAAAATATAGCATTCAATTTGAAAACTGGCAGGAAAAAAAGAAAAAGACCACTTGGTTTGTGGTGCTCATGCAGACTGTCTGCTAAGGAAATAAGTCCACCTGTGCTTAGGCTAAGTCAGATGGCTCTGGGGTAGCCTGCACTGAAGTCTGCATTTGGTCTCTCGGGTACCCGCCTGTGACTAGCTCAGGTTAGTGTGCTCTGTGGGGGAGTAAGCGCTCAGCCCTGGCCTTACCCGTTTGAATGCTCCGTGGAATAGCAGAAACCGCCTGCGGGCGCTCTCACGGATGGAAAACATCTCAATTTCTTGCTGGATGGCAAAAAAAAAAAAAAAAAAGTTACACCAAGAGTTAGGTAAGAGCAGAGACAAGCTCCCTCCCGCGCTTCCTGGCGATGCCACAGGGGGTCCCAAGGCTGAGAGGACAGGACCAAATCCTGCATCCTCTAGGTGGCCAGTGCCGGACTACGACCTATGACCACGTGACTGGGACAACCCAGAGAGGTTGAGTACTAGCTGATTAGAAGGAGGCTTAGACTTGAACCCAGAGCTATGTGTATCCAGAGCCTCTGCTCCTCCTTGACACCAACAGCTTCATGTTGTGAAATGAAAGCCAGGATCAGATAAGGAGAGGAGAGTGCTCTCCCAACATGCCGTCTCCTGTTGCTCCTGGTCTCAGCTTCGCTCTACTCACACTGGGTTGCAGTTTGGACGAGATGGCGATGAAGTTGTTGGCCAGAGTAGAGAATGACTTCAGGTTCTGTGATACAACTGTTTTATTGTGGTAGTTTTTGAAAACGGTATCCAGGTAGAATTTCAGCAGGGCCTGGACGAGGTAACAGCTCTCTGCATCCTGGGGGAGGGGAAGGAGGGTGTCGGTGTCTGAGTCACTGCAGAGCTGAGGCCTCTACCCACCCTGCCCCTGGAGGAACAACCCGCATGCCACCGAAGGCAGGGTAAGTGCAGTAGAAGCAGAGGTTCTTCTGGAAGACAATGGTCAACCTTAGGGATGAGGAGCCTCCGAGGGCCACAGAGAGCAGCACCTTTGCTGTCCAGGAGGAGCCCAAGGCCAGTGAGAGCAATGACCTGCCCAAGGTCACACCGCTGGCCAGCAGAAGGCACAGGCTGAGCTCTTGCGGCCCGAGTCCCCATCTGATTAATACTCTCTTCTTTATAAAACATTGCCTCTCTAGTAGCTCTGGGAGCATGCTGGACACTGAAAAGTCCTGGAACTTAAACTTGGGGGTTGAGAGTCGGTGAGAAAATGACTGGGAAAAGAAGGAATGAGGAGAAAAGGAAACTAACATCCTTGACCCAGCAGCTGTGCGCTGTCCCTGTCAAGCTCCTAAGGGCCATGCAGGGATCAGGGCTCAGCCATTTGTACTCACTGACTCAGTGGGGCATGAGAACACAGTTATGGGGAAGAGCAAGGAATGGAAATGCAAGAGGGGAGGGCCACCAAGGAAGATGCCCATTGGGCCTACACAGACAAAAGGAAATAAAGATTTGTGGTAACTCTCAAGCTCAATGGAGAAAATGCGTACACGCTTCGATCCCTGCTCTGCATATAACACAGCCACCCGCGTAGTGGTAACCCTGGACACTGACTTCCCCGGCGGTGAGCAGAGGCGAAGGCCTTCCATCAGTCTCCCAAAGACAAGCCCACCCCACGCATAGCAGACCAGCCCCCCAGAGGGGGCATTGTCCTTCCCCACGGTCTAGTTACCGAGACGTTCTGTAGAACTTCCTGATGTAGCAGCCGGATGCTCGTGATGTTATCCTGAGCTTGCTTTGGGAACAGAAGGGAAAGATGTTCCCAGGTTAGGGGGTCAGCCTGGAAACCAGCCCTGCATATATGAGCTGCTTCCCCAGATCCCTACATCAACCCACTCCAGTCTATGAGATCTCAGAGGTCAGAGGAACCAGAGGAGGATTCTGGAAGAGCTGTGCTAACCTGGGCCCTGGGGAGGGCTACAATGTTTCTGACACCATCCAGATCCCCAGCGGTCAATGGAACCCTGGGACTTCTTTTTTTTTTTTTTTTTTTTGGGGGGGGTTTTGCTATAGGGCGGGGTGCCTCGCGAGTAGGACATGTGTGCTCACCAGACAGACAGTGAGAGAGGAAGCGAGAAATCACCGCACCCCAGTGGGGGGATGGTCATGCCACAATCCCTTCTCCTCTATTCTCCTCCTGGGATTTTGGGTTTGCATGCACTTGCAACCACCGTGATTTTTTTCTTTTGGAGAGGTTTTTTGCTATAGGGCGCGTGCGCTCGCCAGACAGACAGAGAGAGACAGAGAGATAGAAAGCAGGAAATCACCCCCCAGGGGGGATGGCCACGCCGCAATCCCTTCTCCTCCATTCTCCTCTCGGGATCTTGGGCACGCACGCACATGCGCCCGGCGTGAGTTTAAGCCACCGGGTCCGGGACTCGAACCGCAGTCGACTACGTGGGAGTCCAGCAACATAGCCATTACGCTAACTGCTGGTCCTCCCTGGGACTTCTTAGAGCCTGAACACAGACTTGATGAGGCACTCGATTCCTTCTGTCATCTGAGACAGGAGGAAATAAGCCTGTTTGGGTTAAGAACCAAAGGGGGCAGAATTTTCTCCCCAAATTCCACAATGTGAGGGAGGGGACTTGAGGGGACAGGCTGCACCTCATGCTGCCTCTGCAGCCCAGCCACTTGATTTTACATTCAGACCCAAAGAGCCCATCCAGGGTGAAGCCTGGACGAGACAAGCTTTCGTCTTGCCCTTCCTTGAGGCCGACCACATGTTTCTGAGCCTCAGTTTCTTCATGTTAAAATGGGGCTTGTGATGCCTCGGGTCTCCCTGGGTTGGTTGTGACGGAGGAAACTGATCAGCACGATGCAAAGGGCCCACGATCCTAAAATGTCTTTCTCCTCCACAGCGACCCTGCAACTGGGCCCCGAACAACGTTGTACTCACCACGGTTTCCCTCATGGCCCCAAAGGCCTCCCACAGTGTCTGGAGGACTACCCCCTGCACTCTGCATGGCCCAAATTGGAATTCTTGATTCTGAATCCCTGGCACTTGACTCAAGAGAAGCAGGATCAGACTGAGGCAAGAGAGGGCACCCATCTGCATTCCAGACTCCATCTGCAGGAAGGACAAGGAGAAAGGTGAAAGGAGAATAGAGAGAAAGAAAGGTAGAAGGCTGGAAGAAAGGCAGGTGCCACCTGCAGCCAGCCCTTTGCCAAGGCCAACCTCGGGGCGTTCAGCTTGGAAACCTGAAATGAGGGTGCATTCCCAGGTGGCCTGGAAAACAGTGGCCTGGTTGGGGTGTGCTGGGGTGGGTGGGACCTCCTGCCCCTCAGTCTCATACCCGTTGGTCTTCCTTCTCCTATCATTATGCCCTGCACCTTCCCCTTTCCCGTTCCAGTTCTTTCCAGCCTCCAACCTGCTAGACGGAGCGTGACCAAGAAGATTAAAGGGGGGTGTGTGCTCTAAAGTACCAAAGAACAAGTCTAGGGAGCCCCAACTGGGGAGGACAAAGAGGTTGCTTGTCTGAGTTCTGTCCTGAAGTTGCCAGGCACACTCAGGCAGCTCCAAGGGGGGTACTATCCCTGCCTCCTCATTCCAAGGGAGCCCAGGGGCTAGTTCTGGCCCACAGGGAGGGGCACAGAGGGCAGGGCAGGGCCCTACACTCACTCTGCCACCTCAATCTTCCTTCAGGAATTCACTTTTCGAATAACTGAACATGGGAGAGGAGTCAGATTTCCAGGTGAATCACCTGTAAAACCTTCTTCTGAGGTGTCAGTTGGGACTGACAGTAAGAGCCTCCAGGCAGGAGGTGCTGAGCACCATTATCCATTCATCCTAACTGTACTTATGGTGTTCTTTCCAGCACCTCCTCTGCACTTCAACTCAACCTAATTGCACGCATGTTCTTTCCAGCACCTCCTCTGCACTTTGCTCTCCTTCCTTCCGCCTTCCCCTCTTTCTGCTTTCTCTCTCATTCTTTCTTACTTCTTTCCCCAATGATTTTTTCTTCCAGGCTCTGGTCTCACACCTGAAGGAACTGTTTTCTACCTCCAGGCTGGACAGGAAGAACAGAGAAGACCTGACTTTGGAATGATGCCCATGCCTGATCTGGGGAAGCAGGCCTGCGGCCTGAGGCCCATGGTTCTCTGCCACCCGGGTCTAGGCATCACGTCTGCCACAGTCTTTGCATTCTGTTCTGAACTTTGCAGCCTCTCTCACCTCTGGGCCTCATAGCCCTCCTGGCCTTTCTCCGTTCCAGCCTAAATTCATCTCAGTGTCAAGGGAGCAGCTCCCCAGCCACAGGCATGTCTTGTCCTTATATAAACGCTCAGAATTGACCTCTGCCAGCCCCCTCAGCTCTCTGCCCACATAAGACAGTAGCCTAGCGATTCTAAGTAAAGTGCTCAGGAGCCCCGTCACTCACCTCAGGTCCTGGAAGTGATGCTTGGGGGCTGGCTGTTGGAAGGGGGCCAGTTCTTTCCACAGGAGATGGAAGAGCTAGGTAGGTAGGCCCCCTCACCATTCACGGATGACTGTCACTGTGGGTGGCAAGTTCCCACCTCAGCTGTGGAGGTCGTTTCCAAATGGAAGGCGTGCAGGTGAGCCAGGTTTGGTGAAGATTCCTATATATGGGGGCAGAGGGGGAGGGGAGGAGGACGAAGAGGGAGGTGGAGAAAGGGAAATTGGTCATGCTTTCCTAGAGAATTGCTTCACTGCCTAGTCACCCTTTACTTTAAGACAATGGGGCGGGGCCGGTAGGTGGCATGGTGGTTAAGGTGCTGAATTCTCACAGGTGACTGCAGTTCAAGTCCTGGACCTGGCCGCTTGCTTTCTTGCTTTCTCTTTCTCTCTATCTGCTGAGCACACATGTACTATAGCAAATTAAATAATAATAAATTAAGTAAATATTTCTTTTAGAAAAGACAATGGGGCCATGGAGAAAGCAGCCCCTGAGAGATGAGACTTGGGTCTGGGACCAGGCCCAGTTGCTGACCAGGTGACTAGGACAAGTCCCCTTGCTTCCCTGAGCCCATGTCTGCATCTATAATTTTTTTAGAAAATCTGTCCCACCTCTCCCAGAGGGCAGATGTAAGAAGCAAATGCAAAACCAACACAGAGCTGTTTCGTAAACTCTGCGCACACGTAAATACGTTATTACTAAGCAGAGCTTGTCCATGTCCTCACTGCCAAAACAACTCAACAATTATGCCCTATTGGTGATGCATAGTGGCCCAGAGTACAAGAGCCCAGAGGTATGTCTCCTTTGATTCCTCAGGGCCAGGAATTTTAGCAGTGTTGCCTAACATGCAACCACCATGGTCCCTAGGGTTACAATCACTCAGCCAAAATCCACCTCCCCTTAGGTTCTGAAGACCAGGAAGAATAAGAAAGTGTGTGCATTGATGGGCCTCAAAATCTGGGGGTCCCTGGTGGCCTGATGGCGTAGCCTCCACCTGTGCTGCTGTGCCTGGGAAGCCCAGGAATGCAGGCCGGGTGGCTCCTTGGGAACGCTGGTGCAATCAAGAGACCTGACCACATCTTCAGCTAGCAAGGGTTCCCTGGGTGTCCCATGAAGTCACCAACAGGAGCAGTGTTCCAAAGTACACCCACAGGCTCTAGCTTTGACACTCATTTGTTTCAGATACTCCATGAAACAAGTGAGTGTGTGGTCAGGTCAGCTGGAAAAGCCCGGATCTACCTGCTCCTCAGGGAACATGTGATGCTCCAGAGAATAGCAAGGACTTCAAGAAGGTGGGTGAGGCAAAGTGAGTGAGGGCATTCAACTTCCTTTAACCCAGTAATTCCCATAACATTTTGATCCCATTCTCGAGAAGCCCCTTTTAGGGAACACTGGACTCTGTCTAACTTGGAGATTGACAAAGGATCAAGCTAAATCCAGCCTGCCACTGCTAAGCTAGGATGGGTCAAGCAGGAAACTGAGAATGAAAGTGAGCCCCCAGGGCAGCTACTGTCCTTTAGGAGATTGTCTGCTGGTAGGTGGGAAGGGCAGGAGAGGTGAGCTGTTTTACCAGGACAGGCTAGAACAGAGGCATGAGGTCATGGGATCATGAGTTGCTCATCCTGCTTAAGGAAGGGTTAATAGAACATGGGTAGTCCAGGCAAACCCAGCCTCTGATGAGCTAATCATAGCTCCACAGCCTGAGAATGACAGCCAGGG